TAGGCTTTTGTGAAAAAGAGCCAACGCACAAAACAGGAGATGGAAACACTTTTTTAAAATCAGCTCTGAAGATGCAAATGTTTACCTGATCAGCTGTTGCTGTTGAATGGAGATACACGGCTAATGAGACTTCTCTTAACAGGTATTTTGGTCAACTCCACATGACAAACTGGTCCAGTTGCCTCAGGATTGAAGGCTGCCTTATCCATACATCATATTTCAGCTTTAAAGGTGCTCCATAGGATTTAGGCCAGGGTCATAGAAGGTCACTTCCGAATAGTCAATTTTTTTTTCCTCTTAGCCTTTCATTGCTGTGTTTAGCTGTGTGCTTTAGGTCATTATCCTGTTAGACTGCATCTAAGACCAAATTTTCGGACCCTTGGCAGCACATTTCTCTCTAGAAACCCTTGATGATCTTTTCATTTCATGTAACCCAGGTTAAGTTTTTATTTTTATGATTCATATATGTGCTTGTTATACCCTAATATTACCTGCCTGTGATGAGTTAAGGCTAATGTTTTCCAAAGAACTGTATCTAATTAGAACAGCTCTTCTGTCAGGATGAAAAATAATGATCTTCATTATGTACGCAACAAAGATTTGGGAATGAAATCGGAGCACAGCACGGTAAGAGTGAATAATTCTTAGCAGAGAGCTCTGGTAGTGTGCATTTGGATTGTCATTGACCTAGAAGACTGTGTTACTACAATAGGGCTGGAGCAAGTGATGACTCCTCATTTACAAACAACATGTATATGAGATGCAATGATATGATGATATTGCAAAGTGTGACCCTGGACGTGTGTAAAATGCTTCTTTGACTATTTTTCTGGGCTGACTTTCACAGGAAGGAACCCCAGTGGTAATAAAATGCTGTAAGTCTTATAAACTCTAAACCTGTTAAAACACTTCTCATATTTATTTAATACACATACATAAAGTGTTATTTAAATTATCTCCTCTTAGGAGAGAGTCGGGGAGAGAAAGCTTGAAGGTGTAAACACACAAAGTTTCCCATTACACCTATGCCAGATGAAGAAAAGCAGCTCCAGAACATGACTTAGCCTCCTCCATGTTTCAAAGTAGGTACAGTTTTCTTTTCTTAATAGGCTTAATTTTTCCATTTGCGAACATAGAAATGGTGTGTCTTTGTAAAAAGTGCAATGTTTGTCTCATCTGTCCATAAGACATTCTTCCAGAAGCTTTGTGGCCTGTTAACGTATAGTTTGATAAATTCCAGTCTCGATACATTTTTATTTTTTTTCAACAATGATGCCCTCCTCAGACATCTACTACAGTATTAAGTCCACTTAAAAGAATGTCGGGTGGTGTGATATGACACTGATGTTACTTGAGCTTCAAGGATATCTTTAATACTGTATCTTTAGAAGTTCTCTGGCTTTTTTGTTACAATCTATATTTTCTATCTCTCTGCTTTGTCATCAACTTCCCTCCTGTGGCCATGTCCAGGGAGGTTGGCTACAGTCCCATGGATCTTAAATTTTGGAGAAAAAAAATTCAACTTTAGTCACAGGAACATCAAGCTGCTTGGAGATGGTCTTATGACATTGATCTTTAACATGGTTATCTATATCTTTCTCTCTTACCAAGACAACACTTTTCTTTGTTTCCTCTGGTCTATGTTGAGTGTGGTACTGTATACACCATGTCACCAAAACGCACAGTAACTACCCGAAGCCCAAAATATAGGCTTGCTGACTGATTGTAGACACCTGTGGTGCTAATTAGTGGACACCACTTGAATTAACATGTCCCTTTGATCATGTTATGTTCAGTCTTTTCTAAGGGGGCCCTTTGCTCCTGGCCTTTTTCATTAGTTTATTTTTTTAATTATTTTGTTGAAGTGGTTAAAAAAAAATCAGACATCTTTGTTCTTTTTTATAAATGTTTTGGATTACTTTTGTAGGATTCAAGTTATTTCTGTGACCATTTTTTTCTTCTCCTACGATGTTAATAATATTCTTTTCACGATTCAGAACAGGAGACCCAGTATTCAAGACCAGATATGCAGTGGGATAACTCAAAAACCATTTATTAAATCTGGTTTTCAAGCTCCGTCCATGCCTAGAGAACGAGGTAGGATCCAGCCGGTGGGCAGCCAACAAGATGCGGTGGGTGCCACCTAGAGTGTTCCCGGAGGCTGCAGCCCCACAGAACATACAGGAGTCTGAAGCCAGGTCAGGGACACAGATCAGAACAGGAACAGGCAGGGTCAGTGGTTGAGAAGTAGGTCAGGATCATGAAATCAGGAAAACCAAGGAACTCTAAAAACAGTCTCACCACTAGCTAGAGAGAACAAGACTAATGCCCAGATAACTGAATGTAAGCCCCTTAAATAGAGGCAGGAACAGGTGGGCAGAGATAAACAGGTGAATGGAATAAGTAATTAAGCCAGTTATTGCCAAGATCATGCCAATTCTACTTTAAATTTAGGATCAGATTATTTGATCAATTTCACACAATGTCATAAAGCATTTCACTGGCTTCCTGTACTCAGATGAAAAAAAAACAAAAAACAGAATGAGGACAGAATTATGTTTAATTATAGTTGATACATTTGTAAGAAACTTCTGTTAGCCATAGTTTATAAGGATACATTTCCTTTTGTTAGCTCTTCGGCCTCAAAATAAGAGCTTTCTGATGTCCTCCCGGTTGTCTTTATTGCTTTGAAAGGTTTAAAAACGGTTCTGTAGCCCCTTACATCACCTGCATAAATAGGTATCTTTCCACTGAAACAAGCTAGAATCAGGATAATTCGAGAATATTTGGGAGTTTGTGGATTAAAAACAAGGACAAATTAGGTTGTTTATGGCCTTCAGCCATTATTATCAAACCCCACCCACATGTGTCAAAGAAGGGAGCACATCATTAATTGTCTAATTAAAAAATGCTGTCTGCAAAAGCTGGACCCAAAGTCATTACCTACCTTTACCAACACCCCCCGCCCTCATGGAAATAAACCATCGAGTTTATGTCTTGCGTTTCAGCTGGAGGAACGGGGGTCTTAGGCATGCTGGCCCGGTAAATATATATTTAAAGACTGGAGGTGAAGGGGTGGAGGAGAAGGAGTGGGAGGACGGGGAATTCAGGGACAGCAGCAGCTGCTGAGCTCAGTCCAATGGATCCAAATTACAGCACAGTTAAAGAATTACCAAAAATCTCATCTTTAAGTGTTGAGAAAAGTTCTGATCAAGAGAAAGAGTCTCTGAAAGCACAGACAGACAGCTTAATGCACCCGGTTCTATGCAAAATGTCCTTGTATTTGAAATAGTTCTTTTAACATGGTCTCCATGGTGTTTAGAAGAAACAAACCTAGAACTTCACAGATCCTCCACCATATTTAAATCTGATTTTCCACAATTCACTATCTGTTCCACCCAAATTAACCATGCTTGTTCCTGAAAAACTCAACCTTAGTCTCATCTGAGTAAAGCCCAAAAGTGATGTTAAAGTCCTGGTAGAATTTAAAAAACCCGCCATGTTTACGTTTTAAATGATACAAGAGGAAATGCCCACTTATTGTATGCCTGTGTTTACCATCTAACTTTTGTTATAGAAACCTAGGATCTCCATGATGTCACTTTTAGTCATAGTCAGAGGCCAGGTGACACTGATTGCATGGTAGCCCTAATTCTTCTGTCAGACTGCCATAGATCTGCTATGGTTACAGCGTAGCTTGCCATAGTAACGCTGTCAGGATGTGACCTCATGTGTAAAGTATCTGCTGTGTGCAGTCAGGTCTTCTCAATGCATCAGGATGCCTGCTATCAGCAAGTTTTAAATTTCTCGGCTGTCTTTTTTATTGTCAACAAGGTTCTTTAGACATAAATACACAGATCATGTTAGCATTCTGAGAGGCATTCAAACAGTTGTCCTTAATATATGAAAACTTAACAAGCTAAGCAAGATAATAAGAAAAAAATATTTTTGGCTTTTTCTCACTAATAAGGTTCAAAACACATGTAACTTTTTGGTTGGTGTATTTTTATTTTTTTTCCCATTTTAAGAAGTTCCTCAGTTTAATACATTTGATGGCTCTATAATTTACTGCAGCTATCTTTTCAACTCTCAAAAACATGACATTTTAATCAAAGGGTGGACCAAGAACAGTTTGGCAACCACTCACCTAAGAGCAAAAACATTTTGCAGTTCAAGCTGCAATAATAGATTCTTTTTTTTGTTTTGTTAACAGGAGAAACATGAGTCTGAAAGAAGCTGTAAAAAATGAGTTTCCACATTGTTTAGATGTGTGTTATTTTTAACCAAAACAAAACTCTGTTTCAGGATAAATATAAACATAAGTCCTTTCTTTACATGAAAAATCTGATTACATATGTCTTAGGGCACATTTTTATAGATAATGGTGGCAGATAAAGAATTGTTTTTCCCCTTCTTTTTTCTCTCATAGCACCAGTCTTCTTCAGAATAAATAAATCTCTGTGTTTAGTGTGTCGGGAGTTAAAGCCATCTGATTCTCCCTCTCTTGCTTTGGAACTGTCAGTCATCTCTATAAAGAGCTTCAGATCTCAATCTCAGTCAATGTTTGGACTCTGCTGCCCAGGGGAAAGTAAAAAGGGCAGAGCTACAGAGTCTAATCCTCTAAAAAACATTCCCGCTCTGAGTAATCAGAACAGACAACTGGAGCTTCCCTATATCTGTCACTGCAGAAATACAGAAACACTCATGAGCTCTTGTTGATATACTTGTTTTACAGCTGGTCGTATGAACATAAGTGTAAAAACCAAGAGGAGGACTTATGAATCACTGTATGGTTGCTTCCATCGTCCAGTGCTTTGCATCTTCCTGAAATGTCAAAGTGTCCTCTTACACCAAGGTTCTAATTTTAGCTTGGGAGTGAGGTTCGTGAGAGTACTGACGCTCCCCTCAAAGTTTACTGCATGGCCCACATCCAGTGGAGATCTGAATCAGGACCCTTTGGTATTTTGACACCTATTTTTAAAGGGGGGGTAGGTGGAGTTTCCCTTCTCTGTCTCACTCGCAGATCTGAGTTAGGGTCACTGCAGTTGGGTGTTGCCACTCCCTTCTCCAGCTGGTATCCCCAACGATCCTCACTGAAGCCTCCTGACTAAACCTGCAAATTTACACCTTCTGCTAAAGTTTTCCCAAAACATCCAAATGGACCAGCACAAGCTTCGCTCAGTAGGCGTCCAGGAGAAGTTGGAGATCGTCGGGGTGGAAGATGAGGCCGGCAACCCCATCAGTGCCCTCACCATCCTATCTCTGCTGGAGCGCGTAGCCGGCATCATCGACAATGTCCAGTCTTGCCAGCAGCGCATGGAGGAGCATCAGCTGGAGTTGGAGAACAACATCAAAACCATCCAGGGCGATGTCCTGAAGCTGGCTAAGGACCACAGCGACACCAGCGGCACCGTGGAAAAGCTCCTGCAGAAGACCCGCAAAGTGAGCGCCAATGTCAAGGAGGTCCGCAGTCGTGTTGAGAAGCAAAATGTCAGAGTCAAGAAGGTGGAATCAACGCAAGATGAGCTGCTCACCCGCAACAAGTTCAGAGTTGTCATCTACCAGGTAAGAGGAGATGCTAGGAGTGTTCATTGACCTGTCATCATGCTCTTTTGTAACCAGAGTCTATAGCTGTTGACTTCTGGGGGTTTCTTTCTTTCTAATTGTAGTGCTACATTCGGCACATCTAAAAAAAATTTATTCTAATTTAGGAGTGGCCAATTCCAGTTCCCGAGGGCCTCTATCCTCCATTTAATTCAGGTGCGTTGGACAGAGGATAAATCTAATAGCTACAGGATACTGGAGTCACCCACCTCTGGTCTAACCTATAGCCTGAAAACTCACCTTACTGTTGTAAGCTCAAGTCTGCATCTTTAGTCAGTGAAGAAGTTTGATCTGTTTTCCTAACACAGGAGCAAGAGGAACTATGGATGTGGAAAAAAGAAAAATCGGGTTAGATCTTTACTTGGATGAACTATGACTCACATCATTAGGCAGCCGATGAAGGGAGCTTAAGAAACAGATGAGAGATGAAGGGCGGCTGAAGATCAAACTCTTAAGAGCCCTTCACTCTATAACCCTTAATAGAAAAAGCATTATGATAGGAGCCCAACTAAAGATCTTAATCAGCCTAAAAAAAAACAGGAAAACAAGGTGAATCACTGTAGCATAACACTGAACCACCCAGTTTGGAGCCATTACAACTTTCACGATTTAGTATGCCAAGAATATTGCCTGTTAACATGAAAGTTTGAATATCAATCAAAAGCATGTTTTTCATCTCCAGATGGGGACAAGTTCTGATCTGTAAGAGTCTGAAAAAACCTGGTCTGCATGCAAAGAGGGTTGATGTTGAAGAGATGGATGGGCTTTATAAGGGGATTTAATTGGACCGTCGTGAAATTTACTTTGGAGGCCGCTGGTCCAGCATTAAGAGAAGCTGATCGGGCTTTTTGCCGACGATCAAAGGGGGGTTGGATTACGTCTAACAGGAGAGTAGTGTTAGATTTTTAATCAGAAAGAAGATCAGACAGTTTAAGGTAAACTGCTTTTTGGATGCTGTAAGATTTGAAAAAAATTCTACCAAATCTATTAAAGAAGAGATTATATCAAACTCTCTCATGCTGATATATCAAAGCTGCCAGTTTTATTCCCAATATATGTTCTAATTTTAGTCCATTTCAGGGAAATTTTACAGCCTACACAGGTTAATTTGATAATTTCCTCTGGACCAGAAATCATTTGTTCACTGTTCATATACAGCTTCATCAGCAAATCAACACCATCACTAAGATGGATCTGTTGCATCAGGTCAGCAATGTTTGGACCTTGGCAACAGCCAAAAACAGCAAAGACATGTCTATCCTGACAGTTTCTACAGTATTTTAATGAGAGATAAATATGAATGCAGAAACCAAGAGTGATCATAGAGGCAGACAGCTTTCCTTCCCAGTTTGTCTCAACTGGCCTGTTTCTAATATGTTTTTTTAGTTTTATTTTTTGGAAGTGTCAGATCCTTCTCAAGAGCTGATAGATATTATCAGTTCATTTCACACCTCTTATTTTAAATAGTCAGTTTCTCAAGAAGTAAATGGTGGAAGAATGCATGGCATATAATTTTCGTCTGTGGTAACAGGTGAAAATATAGATTTGGTGTTATTCTAATGTGTCAAATGAATGTGGAGCTTTTTAGCTGTGTCTTCAGTGAATGTTGGGAAAGCTGTGGGAGTATCGGATGCTGCAGTCTGAATTCTAGACCTGACTGGTCCCAGTATAAAATCAAAGCAGGTTATTGGTTAAAATCAATCAATACTCCATCAGTGTTTCTGCAGTGTCTGGTGTTCATGGACAGAAACTAAAGGTATACAGAGGAGGATGTTGGGTTGTAGAATGCCAGGGTCTAATCTCTGTATGAAGGTCTTCTCTCAGGGTCTTTGGACCATAACCAGAGGTTCACAGCATAATGTTGAGGGGAGGAGATGGTGTTTCCAAAATGAATCCAGGTGAAGGATTTGAAGCCTCTTACTGTCTTTTTCAGGTTTGATGCTAAGGTGGAGTAGGAAATGGTAGACAGCTTGAGGGATCCACAGTAATGAGACAATTACTCCAGTCTATCAAGGTGAAGGTGTTGGCCAACAAGCTTTTAATTTACTGGTTCCTCAGTGACTCAATGCAATCAACTTGTCTCCTTAGTAAACTTTTTACCAATCTGACTTTATGATCTGATTGAACTGTCTCAATGAAGTACTTCAAGATGATGTGTCGTGAATTGGCGCTACATAGATACACTGAATTGAAAAAAGAATGTCTTTGTTCCAACCCTTACCTTTGGTCATGACAAAAATACAAGGAGATCTTGAAAAGTTACCTTGGAGATAAAGCAGGATTTTCATTACTCAGGCACACTTTAGAGTAGAGCTGCTGCACCTTTGCAGTCGAAATAATCAAATTAGTTTATTTGATAGAGATACCTACAAATCAAACATGCCTGCTGATCACTCTCAACATTTTGAGCAAGAGTCCATCCATCCTCCCATCCAGCTTCGAACACGCTTAATCCCAAGTGGGGTCGCGAGGGGTGCTGGTGCCTATCTCCAGCTGTCAATGGGCGAGAGGCGGGGTACACCCTGGACAGGTCGCTGGTCCATAGCAGTTGAGCAAGAGTCACATTTGCCAAATCAGTTTCACAAATGCTCAGAAATAATATATACAGTACTCTGATATGCAGATCAGTGGAAAGCCTGGGGTAAAGTGCCGCGCCCAACATTCTATTGACATGTGACAGTAGGAAGCCAAATAACTTCTCTTCCCATTGAGTCACAGTTGCCCCATGAGGATTCATTAGAGGAGGGGTCTTCAATACCAGTCCCGAGGTTAGGTGCCCTGCACCTTTTAGATGCTGTCTCTGTTTCCACACCTGAATCAATTGGCTTAATTACCTCCTCTGTATGCAGTCAGGTTTTCCAGATTCCTGCTAATGGCCTAATTGTTTGGCTCAGGTCTTCTGAAGCAAAGACATATTGTTGAGGTGAAGCTGGAGTATAACCAAAGAAGCCTGCTGTAGAAGAATACCACATATGTCATCTCGTTAATACTGTTGTCAATACAGCAATCTTTCTTCAATTGGTTAACTTAAACTGAAGTTTATCTAAGCAGGTTGCTTAGCCAGACCACCGGGACACATCAAGAAGAAACGATGAAAAAAAATCGGATTTTCCGGATTTACTCAACTTATTAAGTCTCACTACAGGTGGTACTTTCCAGATCTCTCTGTCTCTCTTTGAGCTCTATCTCTTTAGTCTGAATTTTGCTATGTTTAAAATAAAAGGATAACCTCTCCTATTAGCATTTTGAACTTGATTTTCCACCTGGATCTGGGAATGTATCTGCCTTTCATCTGAAGTTAAAGCTCATTAATGTGCCGCTCTGCAGAGACCCATTTGGTCCTCTGTCCTCGCTGATGTCCAGATTTTCAGAATAGTAACTGGAGCTCTGTGTGCAGCGAACAGCTGCTGTGGATCCGTGACAGAGGGACCTATTCTGGGATTGCAGCATTCTCCTGCACTGCCAAAAGGGACAGGCCATAAACTGCTGTCACCTCGAGTCAGAGTCTGAGGCGGCAGCTCGGTACTTGGATCAATAGACAGCGAGAGGCGGCTGTCAGTCACCTGCTGCTGAGAACTGCTGTTAGCCTATAGCAGTGGTTTACAAACATAGTCCTCAGGATCCACCGTTCTGCATGTTAAAAGTGTTTCCCCGCCTCCTTACACCTGACATTTAACTGGGTGATTAACGGGCCAATAGATGCTGAGGAAGTAATGGAATCAATCAACAAGGTGTGTTGGCGGAAAACCAAATCTAAAACCTGCAGGACAGTGGGGACAAGGGCTGGAACTGACAATTGCTTTGCAAGAGCATATCTACAGATGAAAACATTTTTTAAATGTGAAATGCAAAATATTTATATATTTTTTCACAATTAGTGCATAATTACTACTCCAAGTGGGTTGTTCTGTCAGCTATAGGTATGTTTTAGAGTCTCTATACTCCAGTTAATGATTAATTAATTACTAAATTGGTTGACGATTATTTCCATGATTGACTAATCACGATTAATACGATTAATTGTTTCAGCCGTAATGGGGACCAAGTCTGAAAACCACAGTCCTAAAAGACATTAGCAGATTTAATAGTAAACAATTAATCTGCAGGTTAGTACAGCCACCAGAGGGCAGTGGAGGAATCATACAAGTAATTATCTTCAGGTGTTTAGTGTAGCTCAGTTTTATTTTTGTAACCTAAGTAAGTGAACCCGCTTTTTTAAGTTACATTCTGCCTTTTTTTATTGCGTTGTTGAGACGATACTTTTTAAGCCTACTTCAGACATTTTTTCACTGGATGAGAGCTGGTTCATTTACGTGGTTTGGACTCTTCAGAAATTAGATCCTTCTTTCAAGCAATTATTGCAGGCACCACCATGAACAGATTGGACTCCCTCTTGTCTCCCTTCTGCCACCAGGTTCTTTTGCTTTGGTTCATTGTTCAGATGCAGAGACTGTAGCATCAAGCTTATGCTGTGATGTAGAGAATGATGGCATCAACCTTAAAAGAAACAAATTCTTTCAATGTACATTTAAAACAGAGATTTATCCCATCCACATAACAATCTTGGCGGTTCGACTGTGTGATCCAAAACTGTAGCTGGATCCAGTCAGAATATATATTCAGGTGACGAACACGATTACAGCTTTGTTAACCAGGTTAACATGCCAAGGAGGCTTATGGAAGCTGATCTGCAGAAAGACAAAATATATGTGGCTGTAAATTAGATTTGGACTCTGGAAACTCATCATCTGAAAAGGCCAAACGTTTCATCAGGACAGTTTTAAAAACCAAACACTGGATGTTGTATTTAAAACAGTTCCTCTACAGTTCTTACCATCTCCTTGATATGCATCCATGTCACTACCAGAAAATCAAATCAAATAGTGTGCATGAAAAACAGAAAAGAGATGCAGACAGTATTAATAAAAAACACTGTTTGCTAATAAAAACAATAGCATGATCCATAAATACTGTTCAGATTCAACCTAATGAAGCAATTCTTTTTTCTTCCATCTACTTTTCTATTTGGAGTCAGTTTAGTCAAACAGTGTCTTTTTTTTTTTTTATCTTTCATTTACTTCCTTGGCAGCTGAGAAATGGACCAGAGTTTGATCTTCAACCAGAGGTGAAACCTCATCATTAATGGATGTTCTGTTCAGATGCTCCCTGTGGTTTTCTCAGCTCCACCTGATAACCCTCTGCGTCCAGGTTCAGCCCAGTTTGATCCCAGCAGTCCAACCTGTTTAGGAGAGTGTTGAGTTTCCTCATGACGGATGTTCTCTCCGTTATTCTGAGGCCTCCGTCCTTGTCCTAATATAGAGCTACGGCTGTGGTGATTTAACCAGGAGATCTGGGTTGAAGAGGCTGGAGGCTGAATGATGACAGTAATAAGAAAAAGATGAATGGCCGTTGCTACCCTTCCAGGGCTCCTTTATTCCCGTTGCTGTTCACAGGAACAGACTATACTGAAATGTTTAATTTTAGAAGAGCTAATGGCTTTTAGTCTGGGATTTTTTGTGGCGTGGGCCTGTGGGAAGTGATGAGCGGTGACCTGTAAACCACAGGTTGCATCAGAAAGCTTGTAGTTTTGCAGCAAATATTAATACAGTATAAAGAGACAAAAATTGCTATAAAAAGGGTTAGGGTTGAACTATTTTGCTTATATCAATAATATAGTTTATTGCAGTGTATTTTTCAACATTTTTCTTTTTTGATTGTTATGTATCATTTTGTGTAATACACTTATTAAAGATGTTTATGTTTCCCTGAGGCTTGTTTGCTTGCGGAGCTCTTTAGTTTTTGCTCTGATTTTTTAAAGCTTGGTGTTCCTGGTTCTCTCTTAATGAGCATTGATCATTTATTTATTTTTCTCAAAATCATAATATATATATTTTTTGTTTGCTATTCATAGATTTTTTATTTTTTTTTGCCTTCTATATATTGCTTAGGACAGCATGAGTTCCAAAAGTATTTAAACCCCTCTTTTCACATTATTTTTAACAACCAACAACTTTAGAGTATTGCTCAATCCATCATCTGAACATTGAGAGAGGATGGACCAACTGCACACCTACCAAGACATGGACGTCCAATTAAAGGACAGCAATGATAAGACAGCTTGCCAAGATGTTCACAGCTTAGAAAAGATGCAGAGATCTGCGGTCCAGGTTCTGATTGTAGAACAAGAAAAAAAAAAACAATTGGTAAGACAGTAAGTTTTATGAATTCTGGTTTCAAGTTAACTACAAAAATAAAATAAAGAGAGTAAACAAACTTCATAATGTGAGAGGATGCTAAATGTTTGGTTGAACGAAAAAAAAATGTTTTATTGAAAAATTACCTGATCGTCCTTGGACAAGCCCTCAACAGCATTGAGCAGGGTGTTGGCAGGATCATGCTGTGGGGAGGCATTACTTATGGAGACAAAAGGAAGCTGGTTAGAGTTGATAAATTCAGATAAAACATTTAAAAGAATACATTAGCATCTGCTAAAGACTTTAGCCTGGGGTTAAGGTTCAGCTTTTAAAGAACAACCACACTCTCCATCAAGTTGGAATTATTTCATTTAATGCGCCAATGAAAAAAGAGGAAAACTGTCCATCTCTAATTGTGCAAAGTTGGAGAAAAAACATTTTATTCCGCAGAATGTGCCCTTTAAAAAGTAGTGACAAGAGGTGCTGGATTTGCATAAAAACTCTGAAGGTCATTTATTCTTTTATGATGAGCACCAGACCACCTGGTGGTGATCATCTTCCAGTTAATCGCCACTTTGTGTTCGTCTTTCACACCAAAATCTCCTTATAGGAGCATGTATGGGTTGGAGGTTTCTGTTCATCCTTCTCTGATTTTCCATTCCTTTAATTTGAAAATGTTTTGTGTTTCTTCTTAAAAAAAAGTCTTTAGGATTTAATGAAACTATGCTTTTATGAACCTTGTGTTTAGAATGTCTAGAATGAAAATAATCAGATTAAGCCTTAAAACTTTACTTTTAGCTCTGTTTTATCAAAATTCATATTAGCTGGATCTACACTGACCTTCTAAAAAAGAAGAGATTGTCGACATCTGTTTACAGGAATATGAGACACTATGATGACTGAATTAATCCTTCCTCAGTAGGATTTATTCATTAATAATTTTATAGTGGGGATCACCTGTCTGCTTGAAATTAATTTAAAGTTATAAAATCTAATCCTTTGTTTAAAACTCTTAAAGCAGAAGCAGCTTCACCTCAGACCTCAACTGAAGTCGTTTCAGTTTAGGTTCAGTTTTCTTCCCCAGGTCAAAGGTGAAGCTATGTTGTGAAATACGGTGTGTTTTTATGGCACCGTGTCTGTGCGCTCCTATAATCTCCACCTCTGATTGTCTGAACTTCCTGTCGGTGACTCTTCCTCTTCATCACCTCTTGGGTTATTAATACATCCTCTGACCCAAATTCCCGGTCGCTGTAATTATGGTGTCATTCACCATATTCAGGCTCGCTCTGACAACACCTCCGTGATTAATGAGTGTGATCATTGCAGGAGGCCACAGCTTCAGCATGATTAACTCTCTTTTCACAGCCAAAGTCGTCTGTGGGGCGCAGCAGGTGAATTCTCCTGCTGCACCTTCTGTTACCATGATCACTTTGGCTCTTTTGAATCTTAAAACCTGCTTTTTAGATGCTGAAATGAGAGGATGATTAGAGGATGAATACCTGCCGAGGTTAATGTGCACTTTTAACACACTCTCGGCAGTCAGATTATTTCTGTAGGAATTATGAATACCTGATCCATTAATCCTCAGCTGTTACCAGATGGGGAGATTATTATTAACACTGGTCTGCAATTTTAGGAGCCAGCAGGTTCTTCTCTCAATGAGCTCCTCGTATATAAAAATAGAGAAACTTGATCTCATGATGATAGCTGAATATTCAGACTGTAAAAAGGGGCTATAGGTCAGGTCTAACAGAGCATCTCTGAGGATTATCATGTTTCTGTCCGAGCTGCCTTCGGTTTACTAAGCAGCAGAGTAATTTAACCGTAATGGATTGAAGAGATCAGATTCATCTGCACTCGGAGAGCTGAGCCGTCCGCTGAGAAAATGGCGAGTCTGATGTATGATAAGAGGACATTCAGATGGAACTGCATTAAAGGTGAAAGAATTGAGAAAAATCAAGGCTCACTAATCCGCTCCTTTAGATTAACATTCCTTTAAACAGGAATGTTTGGGGAAAATAAACTTTTTATTCAAACATAATCATCTTTTTTTTGTCATTTCAACTTTTGTAAATTTCAGTAAGTTTGTCTGTATGCAGACCATCCTTTGGGGAGCTGTAGACTATACCAGAAGAACCCTTAACCCTAGGAAGAGATCATTTTAGGGCCTTTTTAAAGGTCTTGCTTAGGGATAAATTGGGGTTGTCAAAGGGATTTGAACTTGCAGCTCTCCAAGGATGAAAACCCTCTGCTCTATCACTCGCTCACAAAATATAATGGTAAAAGATATTTTTTCATTTGAGAGATTTTTTTTTCATTGTGTTGCTGAAAATGCATAGATACTAGTTTGTTTTAACTAGATATTTACCAATCTAGTTTTTTTTCCAATCCAATTCTAATACCGAACTCCTGAGCTGAGCGTATCTGCTGATGCAACTGATCTGATTCAACTGTTGGATGAATGACCCATATCTTGCCTTTTGAATGACTTTGATATAAACATAAAAAAAGGAGTAATGTACTTTATATTATTCATAAACAAATAAGCAGCAAAAAAAAAAAAAAAAAAGACATACAAGTCCAAATGACCTGGAATGGATTTCATATATTCGATATAAAATCACATATATCTGATCCAGGTATCGGATTGGTGCATCATTATTTTACGTTTTAGTCATTTATTAAATACATTTTTTAATCCTATCAACCACTGAATCCAAAATAATTTGTACTCCAGTTAGATTTAGATTTAAAGGTATTTTTACCAATACTTAATTTTTTTAATTAATGGGTTATTGATGTTTTAGAATAGTTAGAAAGTCCTACGTTTTATATATAAAATAGAGAGTTTGTGAAGGAAATCAAAAAATAAAAGGAGATGGTGAGGTGGACATCCAACTTTCAAGGTTTGGAGCTCATTGAAACAAATGATCAAACGTATCAGAGTAAATATTTAAAACATAAAGAAACTACCAGCATTTATAAGAAGTGTGTGATTCTTGTAATGTTAACTAAGGCTTTCTAATGACATTTGAGAAAGTTCTAAATGTTTCTTGATGTGCACCTTTAGTACATATGTTTCATAAAACACTTAAGGAAATACAATTATTCATCGCCTTTCTACCTTTTAATACAGTAAATGCTTGTTATGCTTTTTGGTTAAAAACAACGTATTTTTTAAAATCTGTGCTGTAATTCATTGGAGCTGTAATTGGGCCTCAGTGTAATGTACTGTAGTTATTTCAGAGGTGTTAGGTCTGTCAAACATGTAATCTAGTTTTTGGTACATATATCTCTTCATGGTGTGAAAGTAATAAGATTTAAGACTTCACAATTAATGTTAAGCTCCTATTTGTTATTGCAGGGTGAAACGGAGGTTCCATCAGTGGCTGTCACCAAATCGCCCAAAGGACTTGGCCTTGAAGGTTTGGAGATTGAGCCCGATGCCTACGACATCCCTGCAGACCTCTCCTCTGATGAAGAATACCTGAGGGACGAGGAGCCTGATCCCTCACGAGCTGCACGGATCAAGAAATCCATGGTAAAGAGCACTGAGACCCTGAAGGCTGCCTTTTCCAAAGAAAACATGAGCAAAACTAAAGACAACCTGGGCACCAAGTTCCACCACCTGGGCGAGAAGGTCATGCCTCCAGAGAGGAGGGAGAAGATGCACCAGGCAGGGGAGAGGCTGAAACAGTCCGGCGAGCGTCTGAAGGAGAACATCGCCAAGAAGGCTCCGAACAAAGAGACCTTCCGAATCAAGCTGAAGAAAGAGAGGGCCGTCGCTGAGGGCCAGGAGGGAGCCGATGCAGAGGGAGAGCTGGCCGATGCCAAAGAGGAGAAGCCTCAGAGCTCTACGGAAACTAAAAGGGAGGGACCAGTGGAGGAGACCGGTGCCACCAGAGTACCAGAATAGCAGAAAACTTCTCTAAATAGGAACCAGGACACTGGAGGAAGGAGCTTTGAGATTTTAGATGGTTGTTTCAATGAGTAAAGTTCAAGAGGAAGGGGCAGAATCTTAGAGAAAAAGTTATGAAATGTGTGAACTCAAGCAATCAGATGTTGGTTTTTTGTTTTTGTTAAACATCTAAAACTGTGAGTAATCAAGATTGTGGTTTGGTGGGAAGTTTCTCAATAAGCTGAATTTATCTGAAGGAATTGGAGAACAGATGCTGCATTATTGCAACATGATTGAAGGAAAATTGATGAGCTTGGAAAGAATAATGAAGGTTGGTGCTTGCATAAAGGCCCTGTCACACCTTGATGATTTAGCCAGCATATGCCTGACATACGAAAAATCTGTCGAAAATGCTGGCATACATTTGATACGATACGGAGACGTTTTGTATTTGTAAGTTATGAGCACGCTGAAGAACGCTGAAACTCGCTGGCACACGTTGATATAAGGCTACTACGTTGGGAAATTTTAAGTATGCCACCTTATACCATACGTAGGGTATAAGTTACAGGTAAATTATCTGATTGGTGACAAACGTTAAGTATAAGTTACGCATAAGTCATGCCGTCTAGCTTATCCAAATGCGATGAGTAACTTATGCATAACTTATGAAGAACTTATCTCCAACAAATGAACGTATTTGATGTGTTCCAGACGTTACGCGGAACGTGTTTCCATCTTATAGCTACTGTTTAATGGAGTATTGGGAGCGTTTGGGTATAAAAGGGGTTCAAAGGAGGAAAGTGTCAGTTCTCCTCCAGTGTGGATCCCCATCATAGGGTGAGCGAGAAGGTGAGTGTGTTGGTCACAACCAACACACTTCCTAGCAGACATGACACTGAATCTGCGGCAACTACAAACCTTTTTTTTCTTTTTATTTATTCTTTTTTTGTTGGCAGGCGGTTGATACCACGATCAAAGAAATCTTTTTATGCAGGCAGGGCGCCTCCTGGTGCTTTGCTGCCCACCTCAGGACACTTGCTTGTGATATTTCATGGGCATTACGCTGTCGTGTGTAATGTATAAGTTAGGCTGTTGTTGGAAATATGCTCAGTTCATTATGAATACTCTATGTATACAACCAAAATTGAAAAAATACATAGAGTTCAGCGTATGTCAGCGTTTTAGGAGATTCTGGGACGTCAGGCATATGCTGGCTAAATCGGCAAGGTGTGAAAGGGCCCTAACAGTTTTCTGTCTAGATGTACGAAATCCTGCACAAACTTCAAGTTTTGGAGGGTGAAATTGGCTTCAGCTGGTCTGATGTCAGACCGGTTTCTGTCTCTAAACTACATCAGCCTTAGCTTTAGGAAAACAAATGACAGAATACAAAGAGATTTAACAACCAAGAAGTTGAAATACCATTCATATCACTTTGTTAAATAAAGGTGCTGCTATAAGCAATGTGCTTGTAAACAGGAAGATTTTAACATAAAAACTTATTTTTTGATTTAATGATGCACCAAAATAAAATTTCCCATAGTTTTATTAAGATTTTTGTGACAAGAACTGTTAGAAAAGTTCAACTTTAGAGTAACACATCCCACTGTGGAGCAGCAGTGACCCCATGCTGACTGTAATTATTCATCTGGAAGTCAACAGCTTTAATTTTAGCTTTACATGATTGTTAAAATCATGGCTCCTTTCAATTACCTGTTTTTTTTTTTTTAAGTGCTTCCAGAACACTGTGTGAATTCACCTGACATGATTACTGAGTTCACCGCTTTGATTGGACGCTTTCTAATCTTCAGTCATCGAATTCTCCAAACCCATCCGCAGTCTAACTCCTTACATTAGGAGAGAATCTTTCGATGTGATATCATATTCCTGTTTTTTATACTGCTGCCATTCATCTTTTGCAGTAGAAAGTTATTTAGGTTTGATTATTTTCTAATTTTTTTTTATCACATTTTAGATTCAACATCTTTTCTGTTTTATTATAGTTAATCAGAAAATCCAAAATTCTCAGCTTCTCTTTTACTGTATTTTTTGTGTTTTGATTTTGTATAAATACATGTCACCTGACAGATCAAAAAATAAAGCTGTGTTATGCGTTTCTTTTTGTAACAGATTCATTTTATTTCTAACAGATCTCTTTTTGAAAAGAAAAAAAAAAGACCAGAAAAATTGGATTATAAAAAGCTGCATCTTAGATCTGAGCGGCCATTCAACCTCTATGTTTAGTGTCACCTACAGTAGTGGTTAGATGGCTGCTGAGTTTCTCATTCATTGTCCAGTTTCTATTATCACTCTCCTTTCCATTTGTTTGGTTCTTTGTATGTTTGTCGATTGCTTTAAGAGGTTGTCTGGCTTGTTTGCTCTGTTATTTATTTGGTTTTTGGTGGTTTTAAATGGCTTGTTTAATTTTTTAATCATTAGGTTAATGTATTAGTTGCCGTTATTTGCTTTATTCTTCTCTTTAATCATGATCTCCTTTAATTTACACAAGCTATAAAATCAAATGATGTAATAAATGGGTCTTCCTTTGTGTTTTCACTATTCCTTGTTAATTTGACAAACAGTTTCTACCAGACTTATTGATATTTGGGGGGTATCAAATGCAGTGGTGGGATGTAACGAAGTACAGTAGATTTAACAATGGACACTTTCTTTTACCCCACTACAATTTACATGAAGTACCTGTCCACTACAAATTCTAATACTTTTCATTACATGTTACATTCAATTCATATTGTGATTTTCATTTATTTTGTTAGTTTTGTTTAAGAATTTGAAAGTAATCAAATGCTAGATGGAGACTGGTCCACTGAACAACTGAAAAAGCGAGCAGGTAACGTTGGCTCCGCCTCCCCCAACATGCATCTAAAATAGATTCAAGCACGGAGTGTCCGCCAACAGAATTGTGCAACCATGGCTTTATTTGAAAGACTTGTCCTTGTAAAACATAATTGAAATTCATTTAGAAAGTACTTTAAATACTTGAAGTATTTTTTAAAGTACTTTGTTACTTGTATTTACGTTCCGTTTCTGAGTACTTTTTTCACCACATTCAGCAAATAACCGCTTGCTTATCAAAATTATTTGGTGAAAACATTTTGATCAGATATAAGAAAAATGTATTAAGTTAAGAAATATCAGATCAAATTTTCTTCATTAATTTATCATTCATGAAGTTCATGTAAATCGTCAGATTGCTCAGAATTTTAGTGCTGGTAAAAGTTATTAAGCAAAGTAAAAATAAATTCAACCACCAATGTAGATATATTCAATTTAGGTTCTGTATATAAACAAGCCTCAGTTTTAATGCCGTCCCAAAAAAGACCATCATCTAGCCTTAATTCCTGGGGGATTTTGACGGCAAGTTTTGTTCGGCTTTCGAAAGTATAAAGAACACAGCAATATGCTCTGAGAAATCAAGGCCTGTCATTGTGGAAATCGACAACCAAAAACCGAAAAGCATAGATTTTTCTTTCCTCTCCCGAGCATTGAGAAACGAAAAATGACAAGCACTTAATGAAACACTAATTTTTTATATTTGTTTTTTTTTTTGCCAATTCCTTGTGGCATTGTTTTTTTTTTTAGAACTGAAAAATTGAGACAGATTCAGAGATGGTCTGGAAGTGTGGACTGAGCATGCTCAGGGGTCTTTGGACGGCACAGAGCGTGCTCAAAAAGAGGATCTAACTGAGCCGAAACTGAAAGGACCTGAGTGAGGAACAGCGCTGGGTGAATCTGCCAATGGAGAAACAGTAAAAGCACCTGGATGAGGAGAAGGGCTAGGTTGGTGGACATGTTTCTGTTGGGAGGAGCTGATTGTGTCATGAGGAACCAAGCAGGAACTGACATCCATCAGAGCAGAGCTCTCTAACCCCAAAATCCCACATCCTCCATCACCAGTGTTGTTTTTATCTTCAGGATTTGGGGGAAAAACATGGAAGAAATTTCACATACATGCATCAGAGTGCTACCTGTTTGATCTGTGGACGGTTTTCCATCCTTGCAACCAAACCAGCAGCAGGAGTGGAGTTTGGAGATGCAATCCACTTTTTAAATCTATCTTTGTGCTCCTCTAATTTATCCAGAAGTTCTACAATCGCACTTTTTCTCTCACTCCCAACTTGGTGGTCGGCCGCATATTTAGCATGCCTTCCCTGTAAATGCCTTTCCAAATTTTTTGACAACCTGTCTTACAAAGCAAAAATGCAGGCAATCCTTCCGCATTGATAATGAAAGCAAAGGATTCGGTCTATTTGAATCGTCTTTTCTCATCAGCTATCTTCCTTTTTTTCCCTTTGGAATCCACGGTCCGATACACACCCACCGCTTTTTTTACCTGGCACCGCGCCAGGCTGGTTGCAAGTCATGCCCACTGATCTCTATGGCTATAATGCAAATTATTGTTTACATTTATTTATTATACAAATGTTTACAGCACTGGAAAACATAATTCATTTTTGTTTGACCTCCTGCAAACCATATTAAAACAAACAAAAATAACAAAAATAAAAATTTATTTTTATAAATTTTTTAGAAAGCTCCAGCGAGCAGCAAGGGGGACGCCAAAAATGCCACATGCGGCTCTGGAGCCGCGGGTTGCCGCCGGGCTAGGTGAATCTGCCTGAGGAGAATGCTAAAAGGGTCTGAGTGAGGAGAGAGAAAACCTACAGGATCTGACTCTGGAGGGGAAAAATTAAGAAGATGACAAAGCAATAAAACAACAAGAAACCAGCACTGAGTGACTGCAGAGGTGGTGTATATATGGGGAACAAAACAAAGGGTGGGCTAATGAGCTGAATATGGAGCAGGTGTGAGAAGAACTAACTAAAAGGAAGCCAAGGGGAAGGAAAGAAGCACAAGGGGAAACAGAGAGTAACTCAAGAACTCAACACTACTAGAAAACAACTACAAAGACAAAGAATACAAGAAACTAAAAATAAACTTAGGGCAGAACCTTGACAGGAAAATCCCATCATGGACAAACGTGACGCACTTCATGCTCCCTATGGGTGCCACAATGAACATGAATGGTGCTGCTCTCTATGAAGCAGCATATTTATAGTCCAGGTCAATGACATAGACTTCAGCTTTGGATAAATTATTGTTCTCAGGTAATTGAACATCTTAAAAGCAAGAACTGCATTTTCTTTCAAGTCCTAATATTTAATACTTTGTTGAACCACTTTTCATGGCACAACCATAATTGAACATCCTCAAACATTAGCAGCAGGTCATTTACGGTACATAAAAAAACATTACCATAGATCCTCTTTTGTTTTTAGTAATGACAAACTTTTCTAGAATAAAAAAAGACAATCTGAAGCTTCATTGGGGAACCTACTCTACATGAAACTATATTTGATCCAGTAATATGACCCTTCTTCT